TGAATAAGCTTTATGAAAATTAAGATGTTTCTACATAGGACCGAATTTTCGAATATTTGTATTTGAATAACTTATACGAAGTATTAAAGTTGGATACTCAGGGAAGTGCATATATTTGATCATTGGAATGGTCGAATAAATGAAAAAGACCTTTATTCGAATATTTGTTTATTGAACGAATTGAAAAAAAAAACAACTTATTCGGAACTTTACTCGAATATTCTTAATATTTTGCATGAAATGTTTGGACGAAATTCAATCCTATATAGTAAAAGCATTGTGCGCATGTCTGCATGGGGACTTTAGAAACGCCGAATCCTTTATCCTTTGATCAATAGGAAGGTTCAGAGTACTGATACAACGATTTAGGTTTTGAAACAAGAAAGCACAGAACACCCTCCGAAAGCACGATAAAATTGTGTGCAGCCTATAATTTTTGCAATTATATAAATTCCTCTCCCTTCGACGAAAATGCTGTTGCACGCACCTCCGATTTCCTTTTCTTTTTTCGGATTTATATGTCATCAGCTGAACAACCGGCCAATGATCGACTTTTCTTTGTCGCTTCTTACATTCACTAACAGTATTACCTGTTTTTGAACTTCAGAACAATAAATAGAACCTATTTTGTATGTACTGTCGATAGTTACCACGCTAGCCATAGATTATGGTACCTTGCGAATTCCAGACGTCTTCGATAAATTATCCATGTCTGATTATCCTCCTATAGATGTCGGTTGTGCCAGTATATGCTGTGGAATGCTTTTGATAATTGTAAGTCGCATGAGTGTCTCAAGCCAGCGTGCTTTATTTTTTACCTAAAAAACTTGAGTAGCCGTATTCATCATTGATACCTTGAGGTAAATACTACCTCCACTTTTTATCGCTCATTATCAGCAAATACCCGTACTCACAAAAGTACTTTGAAGTAATTTCAAGGTATATTTTGTCTTGAGAGATTTCACCTCAAGATGTTCAGTACTGAATGAAAAGGACCTTGAGGTGAATTTTACCTCAAGGTACTGTTATCACTCAAAATCCGTATTCATCAAACCACTGCATTACCTTGAGGTAAATTCTCAATGCGACTTCTAACCTTAGCCAAAATAAATGTTAGAAGGATACCTTCAGAGACTTATAAACTTTCAAAAGCTGATTTTTTGCACGAGTAATGCAGTATCGTAATTTAGGCCACTGTAACACTTTTGCGCAATTTGGTTGAAACTGACGAGAGTTATGAGCGTTGAACGAGCTTAACACAAAATTTCTGTCTGTAATCTAAGAAATTCTGAAGATGTTGACAAACATTTGAATTTTTTATTTTGTTAAGCTGGAGGTAGTCATATACAGGTTTTATACTCTCTCGCAGCATCTTGAGCACAATAACATAGGTGGAATCACAAAGTCGAAGTTGCTTGATGTGAGCAATTTCTCTCCGATCTCAATTCGTAAAAAATGCTGACTTCAAAGCGATTAACCACCGGTTTCAATACCCCTTAATTGCTCATTTCGGATTGCACTAATTACTTAATTGTTTATATGTCTTAGTTGAAATTGGGCTTGGTCTTTAGCGAGAGGCAAGAGCTGGCAGTTGAATGCAAAAAAAAAATGATGAAGTATTGCTGGCTCACTAAGAATAATTTCAACACTTTTTTTCTTCAATTTTGTAACAATTTACATATGAGCTTAAGCAGCATGTGACTCTGAGGTGTTTACAGTACAGAAACTGACTTAGCATATTCAGAGTTCTTTATCTAGTATTTGAAGCTGCACAAACTTCACGAATTTATGAAAAAACTCTAATCTGTATAAACGGGAGAAATGTCAAATTATGAAGCGAAAATAATTTAGCATAACTTTTGCACATCCTCAGAATTATCTTAACATCTTAAAAAATCAGGTAAAAGTTTCTTACCTTGGCTGAGAAATCAACATATTATCTCAAATGTTTGGAACCATTTATTACAATATTGCTTGACTGAACAAGAATGTTGACTACGTAAACAAAACAGCTTCGGAATCGCTAACTGTAACGCTTTGAACCGTAAAGGCAAGAAGTTCCTTGTGTAAATATTGTGCGAATGCAGAAAAAGCAGTTCACCGCAGTACGTCATGCCAGCTCCTAATATACGTTAGTTTCCATCATGGTGGAACAAGCAACTCTAACCTTAAAAGAAAAACTTGGATGAATAAAAGTTATACCTTGAGGTAAATTGTACCTTGAGGTACAGCTCAAGGTAAACTGCATTGCAGTAGGGTTCGTTCTCATCATTGCAATAGGAAGCACTGGAAGATGTATTGAGTAAAACCAGTTCTATTTACAAGGAATCGGCTGAATTTTGCTAGATTTCCAAGACGTCATAGCGTGCTCGGAATAAACATCAGTGCATAGCACGCTGTCAAAGGTAAAATCTACGTCAAGGTACATTGATGAATACGAAATGCTTAGGGTACATGTTACCTTGTAATAAAATTTACCTCAAGTAGACTCTAAATCAGACTCATCGAGCGCGCAAGCGCGCATGGATAAAACAGCATGCTCTCTACATAGAAGTCTGCTTTTTGATTTTGAGGCTGTTGAACAAGCGGTTTTTGAGCGGAGAAACATGGAAGTTGGAATGGCAAAATTGCAGTGAAAGTCATTGTGGTTATACGGCATACTCCTCAGGAACCTTCCTTGTCTTCGAAAGATGACAGGACGCAAAGTTTTGTGTAGACCACAGCTTCTTCTCATGCCACATAAACAGCCATTGACTTTTTCGAAAGAAGAACCATAAATTCATCTCTTTACGAAATTTACACTCGTATCGAAACTAACGTGTACAGAGTGAGGCAAAAGTCTTGGAGCCTAGTATTTTTTCAGATAACATCAGATGGAAAGTGCTTACAAACAGAAGTTTGGTGCACATGTAAATCAAACTTTCACAACTACAGCGCAGCTCTCAAATTTTGAGATTGCGTTTTTTGACTTCAAAACAGCCCTTCAAAATCTTAGCGAGTCCACCTGTCGTGGCACGCAGCCAACAGTGATAAAATATATCCTACGCCTTCGCGATAACTGTTTCGTTCACTAGGCAAATGTGCAGTATGATAGAGTGAGCTTTTGGTATCATAATACAATATTATATATTACGAAGAATTTTTTTTGAAGTATTTAGGTAGGAAATTTTGGAATTTTAAGTGAATTGCAAATGTACTCGCATAATGGAAATTTGGATGCGATCGCGCGAACGGGAATGAGAAATTGTAAACTAAACAAACTAAAAGTGGTGAAATTGCTCCATTGATCGAATTCAAGATTTACATAGAAGACTCATGGAAAGAATGTAACCTAAAACTCAGTACCTACTGCGCTCTTATAGCTTTCAGTTCCTGAAGACAAATGGCCGCTGCCGCGCAGGTAGTACTCGCAAATTTTTATTTGGCGCTTTCGAAAGAATAGTGCCTTGGCAAGCGCAGCTACGACGTGTTAGCGCAAAGACTCTTCTACATAGGCATCGAAATGTTGTAGAGATTTTACAGTATTTTAGCTACGAAATAAATTGTGAATACTAAAAACTTTGCTTTTCTCTGCCCAGCAGAAGCACTTGCTGGATAAATCCAATACTTCCAAAAACATAAAGGCGACTGCATGACGATAGCGTTGAAGCAATATTAGTTGAGCAGAACGCGGCGCGCGCGTACTTTCACCGTTGTAAATCCTGCTTCTCATGCGCTTTGCGCTAATAAAGCCGCCATTTGCGCCCAAGGAAATTGCACATTCGTCATGCAGCAGACTAAATGTCAAGCTTTTTAGCTATGTAAAGCGTCTTTGCAGGGGATGATCGCCATTATGTGGCACAAATTTGGAATCAAAATCATCGTTTTGTGATACTTTCGTGAATTACGACACTGCAATGCCGACTCCCAGACTTTTGCCCCACTTTATAATACGAAGGCGGAAAATTAATTGAAACGTCATTTTTCCATCAAAGAGTTGTTACAAAGTCGCCGAAGGTTATTCAAGATTTGATAGGTCAAGCATTTTGGGCTAAAAATTTCCATCTATCAGCGTGACTAACCGTACAATCAGTTTAGAAATTACCTAGCAATAAACGGAGCCAAATTTTTTTTGGATGAAACTATTTACGTTTCTACAAATTCGGAGAAGCTGTAACACGCTTGGATTTTGAAAAATGGATAACAAATCAGTTGCACAATTCCAAATTCAGTGAACATCTTTGAGAATCCAACCATTCTTAGAAGAACTGTATATCTGGTATAAAACTCAAAATCATTTAAATTTTTTGTGCAAAGCACTGAAGTCTTGTAGTGTCTCGAGCACACAGTTGACAATAAATTCGAAAACAAGAGAAAATAACGTTTGCATTGCAGCTCGCTCTGTTTGGTCTCATGGTGAATGGCAACAATATCATGATTATGCTAACTTCTAAACTTCGCCATACGTCGCATGGCTTTCTATGTATAGTCAGAGGAATTTACAATATCATAAATCTTTCTATCTTCATTATTTATACGGGACCGAATACAGCCTTGTCAGTCCGTTTCATATGTTTTACATGTTATTTATCAAAAGCAAAAGAATCTTTTTTCTTTGCTAAGCTTATTCTAGAAAAGTCGTAGATGCACAAGACTGTGGATTACACTACACTTTTCTATGTACCAGAACTTATAATCTAAACTTCCGTTTACTTGTGTGATTATATAAAGACTACTGCATGACCAAGGCACAGAAGCAGTATTAGATGAACGGGCGCGAACGCGACGCGCGCGTATCTTCACCGTTGTAAATCTTGTGCCTCATACGCTCTGGGCTAATAAAGCCGGTTCGCTCCCAAAGATATTGCCTTTGTCATGCAGCAGCCTATACATGTATAAGACAAACCTTAAACTAGAAAAATTCAGAAGGCAGCGGCGAAAACAATGCCAAAAGTGTTTAAGGGCTATATATCTTTCCTAAAATATCCTTTAATATCTTGACAATCTTGGCCTTACCTAACATGCTTTTCAGTCAATATCTCCCGTCGTATGACGAAGTTGGGAGAGTCATATGCCTTATTGTGTCCGCTACTTATGCTGCATATCCATTTATGCAATTTGGAATTGTCTACAATCGTGTTATAGCCCTTTTCCTTCCCTTCAAATTCGACAAACTCTGCCCTATCCAAGCAGCTTGGGTAAGATGTCTAAAGTAAAGTTAAAGTCACTTGCGAGTATTCTAGATTTTCGTAACGTTAGGGTTATTATATGCTGCCTTCTTCGTCGCTCATCAGTTAGCCCGTGGGTTTCAATTTGCTTTTTTGCACTATAAATACGATCGAATTTAGATGGATGTCGTTTTGCATATGACGCAAAGACGTTAAATTGGCAGTATCTCAACTGCCCTTATGAAGACAGAAAATACTTTTACATATTCCCTGTTTTAATCATGACAGCCGCCGTTTTGATATTGAACTCAGTTGTTGCTTTCCAGCTTATGATAAAGGTATGTAGTTTTTCATTCAACTGGAAAATTTTACGATGCTTTGTTTTGTTCTGTGACCACTTGTACGTAGGCGTTCTTTCACTAAATATCGTTTAAGGTTGGAACATAAGTCTAAGTAAATAGGTAAAAACTGCAATAAATCATATTCTTCTATAATTCAGGCTCTGTTAGAACAAAGTAAGCTCTACAAAACGGTAGTCAAAGGTTTGCTATGACTTTGATCAACGCGACAAATATGTAGGCAAACTTAAAAGAAGGTATGATTCCAAAAAAAAAAAAACAGAATTCCTTCAAAAAAAAGCTACAGAAATCACAAGCTGCTCATATAGCTTTTGTACTAAACATAAAAATTCGTTTTTTCGTGTTCTATTCAAAAAGAAAAATATAGCAGCCGCGTAATGTTAACTTTGGAACGTAGAATGAGTAAGTTATTATTTTAGTGACATTTTTTAAACATAGTTTATTTTCTTTTTCGATTAGTCGGGCCTTTGAATCCTTTTAGTTCTGCCTTCAAATTTGGTCAATCAAGACTGATGCAATCCTTTGATTACCATTTTGTAGAGTTTTTTGATAAAGTTCCTTCCTCGTTAATTAAGCTTTATTTGAAGAATTTTCTGAAATGGCGTTGCTTCCGCAAAGCTTAATGTTTTGAGAAGGGCAGCCCTATAGAATGGTACTCAAAGTCTTAGGACGTATACGAAATGAAAAGATAAACCAATGCAATCAGACAGCCTTGTATCGAAGCGTGCTGCATTTTCCAAGCCTCCATATAGAAACGTCATTGTTAGTTTAACTTTCGATTAATCAGTTTTTTCAATTTTTTATCTCGCTAATTTAATATGCAGATCAATATTAAACTCATAGTTTGTTGAACCATACTTGTAAATTTTCAGTATTGATGATGAAGAATGCAAAGGACTCTTTGACAACAGTCAAGCCATGTTTAATATTACCACAACGGGCAGTTCTTTTTACCCACCTTTAAATTCTCCGCGTTTGAGTAGAGGCTGAATTTTTTTCAAATTTCGTCATTTCGTCAAAGTTCGTACAAATTTGGTATTGGAATAAGAATGAAGCAATAAACTACTCTGTAAACGCTAAAGGAGGCTGATGCCATGGTTGCCTGTTATTTAATTCTACAGTAGGTGTATTATTAGCCGTCTGAGTGGTTTCGTCCTTCTATAAATCTTGAGAATGTGCAATGCCTCAGTCATCCAAGATGCCATGCGAGATTACAAAGCTGCAAACAATTTCAGAAGCTCAAAGCGACCACATCTTGTTTATACGAGAAAAAGAATAGAAGAATGTTTTGGCAGGTATTCTATAAGCGAAGAGTTTCCAAAAAAAATCTCCGATTAAGGGATTTGTGCAAGATGTCTTCAACGCCAATGATCTTATTTGGCAATGTTTCCTAAGTGGTTTGATAAATTCGCCAATATGGGTTTTTATCGCGGACACACTCGTTTGGGAATTGTCACCCATTTGTGACGGGTAACACCCTTTTGATTTGGGTGAGGGAACTTAGGAACCCGAGCCTAATTAGCTCGATTCGGGGAGTGCCTGCAGGTTACAGTCATGCTCGCTGTGTCCAATTACTCACTAGGACATAGCAATAATCTAAGCCCCGCCCTCTGAGAGCCTCTTTGGAACCTAGCCAAGGAATGCTGAAAATCTGAATTGAATTTCAGGGGCTGGCTCTAAGCCAGAAACCTTCAAAGTGATCGTACGAAGGTGAAATTAGGCTTAAACGAAAGAGAAAAACCATGCCATCATTATAAAGTATCTACTGATCGAAACTGACTGAACCCAACATTCTCTTGGTTCAAAACTTTATTTAGGTGTTAAATTACTGAGAAATTATTCAAAAAACCGTCAATTCTCAGAAAAAATTATGTGAGTGCTGAATCCGGGCAAAAGACTAGAATATCACTCGAAAAATGGCAGTTCAAAAACTTCTCAAGATTGATAATTATTTAAATGCTGAAATTTAGGCGAAAGACTAGAAAATCAATTGCGAAAGACAGTTTATAAAATTCTCAAAAATAAAAGATTGTTTGTGTGCGGAAGTCTGGGCAAAAGACTAGAATATCAAAAAATGACAGTTCAAAAACTTTACTAATGATATTGCTGAGTCCCAGAAACAGACGATTCTGATGTGCGAGGAACATCCTGCTAATATGCTGGAAGCACTGACCTCAACCTACGCAAGGAAAGGTTGCAATATCAGTTCGAGGAGGAGTTTTCCATAAAATAGTAGCATAAAGGGTGAAAACCATTTATCGTTACTACCGATATCTCAACTTGCCATGTCTTACGACGATTATTTTTATTCCCACATGCAGCATCTGCTGCAACAATTTTATTCATCGGCAGGCCCTAATCCTGTTCCTGTACTAAATTGGGAGCCTCAGGTGATTTTGATAAGATCAGCTCAAATTAAAAATAAATTTATACATTTTAGCCGTTGTACACTTCGTCCGCTGGCTTGAGCGAGCAGTACTATTCTGATATTTTACCGAATGCTCAACCGAAACCACTAAAACTACTGTTTACCTTGAAATCAATTCAAATGCTACACAGACGAAGACGTTACATACTCAGAATACTGATATATCGAATACTGTCCCAACGGCAAGAAAAACTATTATTTCTGAGAAGTTCTTGATTTGTCATTTTTTGATATTCTAGTGTTTTGCCCAGACTTCCGCACACAAACAATCTTTTATTTTTGAGAATTTTATAAACTGTCTTTCGCAATTGTTTTCTAATCTTTCGCCTAAATTTCAGCATTTAAATAATTATCAATCTTGAGAAGTTTTTGAACTGTCATTTCTCGAATGATATTTTAGTCTTTTGCCCGGATTTAGCACTCAAATAAATTTTTTCTGAAACTTGGCGGTTTTTTGAATAATTTTTCAGTAATTTAACACTTAAATAAAGTTTCAAACCAAGAGAATGTTGGGTTAGTCAGTTTCGATCAGTTGATACTTTATGATGATGGCATGGTTTTTCTCTTTCGTTTGAGCCTAATTTCACCTTCGTACGATCACTTTAAAGGTTTTTGGCTTAGAGCCAGCCCTGAAATTCAATTCAGATTTTCAACATTCCTTGGCTAGGTTCCAAAGAGACTCTCAGGGGGCGGGGCTTAGATTGTTGCTATGTCCTAGTGAGTAATCGGAGTCAGCGAGCATGACTGTAACCTGCAGGCACTCCCCGAATCGAGCTAATTAGGCTCGGGTTCTTAAGTTCCGTCCCGCTTTTGATTTTAGCGCACTACGTATTCTAAGCTCAGTCATTCTTCAGATTAGTATTTTTGTTTTTCGATGTGAGAATGAGAAGACTGTTCTGGTCTGAACAGAGTCAAGTCTCTACTCAAGCCCCGCCATCTATGATTGTATCCAGAAAGCCTGGTCAATCGCGATCAGGAAGTTCTTGTATAAAATAATTTTATAATAACATCGGAAGTATTGGAGAAATGAAGTTATAGTAAGGCTTAATAAATATAGTTCTTACTTGTCTAATGATTGCAGACATGCAGACGTTTAGTACGGAATAAGTATCTAGTAGCTTATGACTATGAAGCAATGCAGTGTGCTGTCTTCTGGCACTTGTTAATTGAACAGTTGCTATTTTCAAGCATAACAAGTTGCTTCAACATAAGTCGTGATGATTTTTGTGATATAAAAAGGCCTAATATCAAACATCCAACGAGAAGCTTGCATGAAACTTTCAAAAACTAACTGGCTTTCAATAATTATGGCTGGAAGTAATTTACTTGCCGGCATCCTAGATGCTGGTAAGTTGGCAGATACCGCGAGACTTTGCTTCCGGCGGCAGATCGCGGACTTTATATTTGTTTTGATATGTTTATATTATATTTGTACGCAATTACTGTCTCTGAATTTTGACGATGCAGTCCTCCGCAAAGCGCTGACATCTCCTGCGTTCCAATTGCATGCGTTGACTCGCGCGATTCGCTGACTGATAGACCACTCGGTCGCTTATTGCTGTTCGCAAAACATTGAGGTCAGCACCTCGACGTAGAAGGGGCACGTCGAGATGCCGACAACTCTTCCTCTTTCACGAAAGCACGCTATTTCTGGCAATTAAATTTCTGGCAATTTTCTGGTATTTCTGATATTTCTATTTCTCTCTGATCTGCTGGCACCTGCACCTCGCAGATTTGACGAGACAGGTTGCCGGCAACTGAGCTCGCGAAGTTGCCAGCAGCTCCATCTGCGCTTTTCAGTATTCCCTTACAGGGAGATTCCCGAAACTTCAAATTTGTTGAGGGTTCGAAGTCGCAATGACACTATCATCCAGGAACTTTTCTAAAGAAAGCCTTCAGACGGCCTAGATTTGGGATTTTACAAGGGAATGGTCAGAAGTCGTCAAGTAGCCAAACCAAACAAGCTCTATACCATTCGATGCGGTATGAAACGCTGAGTTCGAATCTGTCTTCCTTATCTGCTCATCGCTTTTGTGGACGAAGCTACAAGCAGTATTTTTATGGAAAATCGTAGATAAAAACTGTAAAATTGAGTACATTGCTGCAATTTCAGCTCAGCTCTAGGCTTTGAGAATTTAAGAAAGTTAGCTGCATGTTTTGGCCCAGCATTAAAGTGAACGTGGCTCTCTACGGCCAAATTTTCACTTTCACGCATAATTTCTTAGCAAAATATTGGCCTTAAATGGCTTATAGTTTCGTCCAGAGAAGCGATAAGCAGATAAGGAAGACAGTTTTAGAGTCAGCGCTTTATTCTGCATCTAAAGGTATGCAACTTGTCTGGGTTAGCCACTTCGATATTTTCTCAGACAATCGATGGGATACCTCCGGAGCAGAAGTGGCAGGGTCGCGGGCTTTCCCTAGCGGAGGATTGCCACTTCGCGCTCCGGAGCCGTGCCATTTTACGCAATTTGCTGCTCCGGGGCTCTCCCAAAACTGGCGCATTTCCGGAGCAGAGATTTGCGCGTCCCGGAGAGGGGTCCCATTCGTCCTGTTTATGACGTCACCGTGACGTCACGGTGAATGAATGGGACCCCTCTCCGCGACGCGCAAATCTCTGCTCCGGAGGTGCGCCACTTTTGAGAGAGCCCCGGAGCACAAAAATGCGTATGGCAGGGCTCCGGAGCGCGAAGTGGCAGACTCGCGCCGTATGCCCGCCGGAGGTATCCCTTCGACTGTCCGAGTGACCATTCCCTTGCTTGCTTTTGGCGAACTCATGGCAAGGTGCTGTTGCCGGCGAGATCTGCCGCCAGGTCAGGGGGATTACTATTGGCCTTTATGTTCAAGGCATGCTGGCGGGTGCAAAGTTCCACCTGTTGGTACTTACCGTTAGATCCGCGGTTCGCGGCAAAATTTACTTAATGGGTGCAAGTACGTATTAAAAACATTTTTGTCAATGGGCTGACATTCTTCTAAGCGCTCTGCGAGAGACGAGTCCTTGGTGTTCGGGCAGAGTATATGTAGTCTGCAAATTCAGTTAATATGGAGGATTGCATAACCATGTCTGCAGATTTCGCCTGTGTTGATGTTATTTATATCAAATTACAAAAATCATGTTTCCACGTAAATGCATTGGCGCACATTCGCATCTTGACATAGCATTTTTGAGAAAATGTCAAAAATTATTTGTAATTTCTCTGTATCAAATCCCATACGATTCATACGAAAAAAAAATTTCCGATTTTTGAATTTTGAATATCTTTTCCACCTCTAGTTTCGACGTGCTAGCGGCATCAGAGTGCTGCCATAAAGAGCAGCGAATATATCCTGAAAAATTACAGGTGAAAAACAACACACTTAGGCGCAAAGAAAAATTTTAAGAAAAAATTTTGAATGTGGCTACAAAATTGTCGGAGCCTTGCTGGCTCTTATATGCGACATTAGTCATGCTGGTGGGAAGACTTTGTCACTATGTGCCGGAAAATTGAGATTTTAGAAAGTTCTCAAAAATTTTCAATATTTTACGGAAAAATGTAGAAAAATTATCCACCAACCCACTGTGAAGCGTCAATGTCGTGCGCGCCACTTTCTACCCCTTCCACTTGCGATCAAGGTGGTTGCGAGCTAATCAACTTAGAAAACTAATAATCTTGGACACGCTGAATCGCCGTATAATATGTAAGCTGCAGCACTATGTTGTTGCTTTATATTAGGTTGTCCGGAAATTAATGCAGGTTTTGAATTTCAACCGCAATAATTCATAAATTTCTCATTTCTGAGTAGCTTGCAAGCTACCATTTGATAGAACAAAGCAAGCTCTACAAGATGGTTCTCTTGCTTTTGCAACAGCTCTCATCCACCTCGAGTTTCGAACCAAAAACTAAAAAGACTCAGCAGTCCGAACAATTGAGAAAAATCGTAACTCAGTTCACAACAATCCTGCAAAAATTCTAACTCGCTCACATTAACACAATCCATATAAGGCATCTATTATACTTGGGACCGAATCGAATAATTATTCGATCATTCGAATAAATCATTCGAATGCG